TTTGGGTTAACCAACCAAGCCATGAGTAGAAGGTACCTCTGGTGTCAGCTATTTTATCTTGAATCGCATCGCTCAGCTTCAAATATGCGATATTTAGTAATTATATACCTTAGGCGATGGCAAGAAATCTTTATAGTTGGTTTGGCTCTGTTGTTTAAGCCAGCTGTTGTGCGGAGGACGTATCTTCTTGAGAGTGCGGGCGAAGAAAGGGTGTGACAACTTGCGACGTCTATACGGCTCAACAAGGTACTAGGGAGCACAAATTTGGATCGCGGCATTTGGCAAATACAGTGGAACCTCGATTATCTGTCTCACTATTTACCGTCACCTCTGTTAACCGTCAGGGTCCATACTTAAGTTATATTGACTACATAAGTAAAAATTTAAATTTAAAAATGGAATTAAAGTTCTGTGTAATCTCTTTAACAGAATTACCAACTAATATTACCAACTGATTGGTTAAAGTCGACATTTGTCACAATACCTAAGAAACATCGTCCAAAGACATGCGGTGATTATCGGACAATAAGTCTGATGAGTCACGTTTTGAAGATCTTCCTGCGAGTAATACACAGCAGAATTTACACGCTGTTAGAGGACAGAATTAGCAATACTCAATTTGGGTTTAGGAGTGGCTTGGGTACAAGAGAAGCCTTGTTTAGTATACAGGTGCTAGTACAGATATGCAGAGATATAAATGAAAATGTTTACATTTGTGCAATCGATTTTAAAAAAGCTTTTGACAAAGTCCGACATAACAAAATGCTAGAAATATTACGCGCGTGAAAAATTGAGCGCCGCAAGTATTGAAGTCGTTGACGAATATAAAAGAAAGTTTCAAGCTATGATCGATTAATATGGGTTAACACACGATCAATATGCACCCGGATTTAAAACGCAAAAGCAACGAATCACAGCTCACAGCAATGATGTGTTCAAATGCAAGTGGTGACCACAGCCTTCCTTTATTATTGATTGGTACAGCAAAAAAAACACGTTGTTTTAAGGCATAAATATGAACGGGCTTTCCGTTAACTACTACGCACAACATAATGCATGGATACTCCAGGAAATACTCGCTGACTGGTTAAAAAATGTATGCACTGCAAACCAAAATTTTTCTATTTTTCATTTTCAAATCTATTTTTCTAAAGTCTTGTTTTTTAAGTTTTTATACCGGATGTTCGACAATACTTGCAAGCAAAAAAACTGCCCATCCTGAAGCCAGTATGCTGTGAAGTGACGATGGAAATATCACGTGCTCTTTTCTGCCTGCGAATACAACATCATTGATACAGCCAATGGATCAAGTGGCCATTGAAACATTCAAAAGAAGATACAGAAAAAAAATTATTCAAAACCTCGTTATGCAAGAGGAATATTCTTTGCCAGAATACTGGAAAGCATACAATTTAAACCACGCAGTCGACAATGCTGTGGGTGCTTGGGCTGATGTTTCGGAAGTAACGCTGAAAAGAGCGTGAATAAAGTAATGCCTGAATCAACTCAAGATGAAAATGCCCCCGTGACAGCCGAGCGTGATGCGGTAACAAATGAAGTTATGCCTGAATCAACTGTTTTGTTTTCGTTGTCTAAAGATGGCATAAACGAATGGTTAATTTGTGATGAGGACGCAAACGGCTATCGATTGGTGACAGATGATGAAATCTTTGAAATAGCAACAGAGGCAGGCGAAACTGATTCAGAAGCTGACACAGACTTTGACGGTGGCGATGTTGATGATGCTATTGCAACTCACAAAGATTTGCGTAAAGAAGATTGAGAAGCTGCATACAACAATTCATCGAGTGGTATTCTCGACAAGAAGAAGCAAATAAGGTAGATTTGATGTTTTTACGTCGATTAAGAAATTCAGCCGTTGCAAAATGTGAAGTAATAAAACAAACAAAAATTTCGGAATATTTAAATCAAATTAATTCGTCTGTACTAACATAAATCCTTCTTATATTGTCAAATAAAACATACAAATAAAATTTGAGAGTTATACTATGAATTTTTATTATTTTTTAATGTTCTGTTAACCGTCTTTTCGATTATCCGTCATACCCTTAGTCCGGTGCCCTGGCGGATAATCGAGGTTCCACTGTATTAGAACTTAGTAATCACAAAGATTAATCAAAATTATAAATAAAAAATTATACTAAATAGTACAATATTTTTAATACCATAACCCTTTATTCGCTAATTATATAAGTAAGTTTATGGTTTCACGTTTGTTTTTCGACATTTTAATATCTCTTTCACAAGCATATACGACAACATATAATAATGGTGCCTTTGGTGTTTATTATATAGGTCTGTAGCCTTCAGTGTGTGTGGTCCAATAAAAAACTAATAAAACATGACAATTTTTAATGAAAATAAAATGGCAGTAAAAGTTTGATACTTTTCTATTCGTAAATCACTAAATGGTCAATACGTGTTCGGTTTCATTGATAATAGTGTTCGTGGGAAAATATCTTCGTTCTAAATAACTGGCGTTGAATTTTTTGTTTTAAAACATTTGGGAAGACATAGTCGTCCCCAAAAAATTTTCAAGTTATAGAAAAAAACGGTATAGTAATATTTATTGTATTATAATATGTTTTTAATATTATTATTTTTATAGTTTCTGGTAGTTAGATCATCTATAGCAGGGGTGGCCAACTTAATCTGACTCGAGATCTACTTGTCTGTCTTTCTAATTCATTGCGATCTACCGACTAGGCATTTTTTTGCGATACTGGCGAGCAATAAAACTCTTAATCCAGAATTTTAACGTTAAAAGTGAGCTGAATATATCAGAGTCGCTCACTATATCTCAGAAAATCAATCACTTATTCTCTTCTTCTTCTTCTTTTTATGTAGACATGACTGTCTGTTTTTCAATGTGCCTCCAGTAAGTTGTCGTTCATTCTACTCTTCTATTTTTTACCCAGTTCTTGATGTTCTCCACCTTGCATCTACGTTCGTATATATATGTACTTCTAGCTCTGTCCCATAGTAACTTCTCATCAATTTTTTTATGTGTCTTCATCTCTGCTGTTTCTAACAGGTCGTGTGTGGTCAAAAAATGTTCAAAAAATTTCCTGATGTAGGTATAAATAATATTTATAACTATCCACCTTTGGATATAGGATTAAACAATATTTTTTACATGTAGCTATGTCTGTTCATCTTGGCTGTTCACGTTCATAATCAAATTTCTTCTATTATTTGCGGTTTTGTTTCAATTTTCTTGCAACTGTCCATGACACTCCTCTTCTCTCCAATATCTTCCCGATTACTTCACTTCATGTTTGTCTTCGTCTTCCCCTTTTTTGTTTCTTTATATTTTTGCTTCCCACATTCTTCTCACTGGTACGGTACCCTTCATTTGGTGTAAATGACCCCATTAACTCAGCTGTCTCTCTTCTATAAACTCCAATGTTGATTGTATTTTGAACTTTTCAGTTCTTTCCTTACATATCTGTGTTTCCTAGTCTATCCATTTTGGTAATGCCTTTAACTCTTCTTAAAAACTACATTTCTGTAGCCACCATTTATGTGAAATTATACAGCGTATATAAAAGGCTAGAGTATTCAGTGTTTGTTAAACGAAATTGTCAAACTCATGTTTTGCTTACAAAAATTAAATTCCGCTTTTTTTATGCTAGGTATTTTTGGTTCTTCTTTACAGGATAGAATCTTAGATACTATGCGAAGAACAATTTTGTCGACAGGAATATTTTAAGATATAGTGATATAGAAGAACGTTGAGAATCTCCTGAGCGGATCGTTTAGACAACTATTACAGCTTATATTGCAAGTATAAGGCAAAGTAGGTTCAGGGAGACGAGAAATTTCCTGACTCTATAATCTTAAAAAGTTTTTTACACTTTCTCTCACTAGACTATTTAGAGCAGCAACAAATAAAGTGACGATAATCATGTTACTCGTCAACATCCGTAGTAGATAAGCATCTTTAGAAGAATAATACTAAATGTGCTAGTAATATCTGTGTTTTCTGTACAATATAACTCAATAGGCTTTGATCCTTCAACAAAAATTTATTATTTTTTAATTTTAATTCCTTGATTAATAACATTATTAATCAAATATAGTCAAATATAGAAGGAAAAGATTTCAATGAATCTAAAAAGAAAGTTCTTTAAAGCTTTTAGATCAGCTATGATCTGTGGTACTGAAAGTTATGTAAGCATGTTGCGAAACTGAACCTGCTGCTGGCATAGAGGAATAAGTAAATATATTAGGAAAGTCTAGGGATTCACCAATTGATGTCAAAATGAAAGATCATTAACGTCAAGGTGCTAATAATCCAATGAAAGAAGTGCTGCGGAGTTGAAAGCTTGTCGAAGAAAAAGAAGTCCAAGCCAAAGAAGTCCTGCGAGAGACGCTTAGACATGACATGTCTTTGAAACGTATTAGCTCTGGCAGAAGTCAAGATAAAAACTAATACAGAACTGAAATTTAGGAAGACTATCTCACGTAGTATTAGCATTAAACGCATAGGGATACTGGCAAGGAGAATGACGATGCTAGAGTAATGGGAATCCACTTTACAAAGCTTTCAATACGAGGTATTGTGACTGATGACTGACGCTCCATAGTTTAATTCAAACTTTGCACGAGATCTTCAATAAACTTCGTTAAATCAGACAAACGATTATTATGTGAAATAACCAAACTTTTAACGATTTATCAAAAAAATCTGTCTCGCACACCAGATGTAGTATCATGAGCAAATAAAAAGTGGAGCTTTGAAAATTTTACTGTGTTGTGTTGTGCTTAAAATTTAAATATTTATGGAAACAAATGCCATTGATGCTTTTTATAGTACTAAATGGTAATCAAACCATTTTTTTATTATTATATAGAGACGAAAATCCATTTCATTGATTAGTGTACTTGGTTAAAGTAACAATTATACAAAAGCTTTTTTATATGTTACGTTGGCAATGGAATTTAGTGATTTATTGGATTTAAAAAAATAATAAGATTGGTAAAAAAATACATATTTATTTTATTTTTCAGTTAAAAATCCTAAATACAAAACCAGTAATAAATAAGAAAACAATTATTACATTTTTGAATTTTGAGCTAATAAAAATTTAGAGACATGCGGTGCCACTAGTTCTGGATTTTTATTATGAACATCATGTTTACCATCAATGTATACAATATTGACATCTTTCAACTTCGGTAACTGCTCGTAAAGTTTTTTATAAGTTTTCCTTGGATAGTCGTTTGATTTAGCGAAGATTATGAGCACAGGGCAGCGAAGGGGATCCGCTTTGAGACTTGCTAACTTATATCTCGTATCGTTAAATGGAATAAATGGCCATGCTACCCGCGGATCTGTCGTCACCACGAATCTACCATCACCTAAAACAGTACTTGTATTAATATTTGTGGATTTACCTTACATAATATTAAAAAGAAGTTTATCAATATATATTATTATTTCTTTATATTATATTATTTATGGATCCATTAACCCTTCTTAACACAGTATACAAAATATTTTCAAGTATGGTCGCCTAAGGGCTTATTCAAAGGTTCCACCATTGGTTCGAAGGCTCCGTTGCTCAGTACTGCTAGATTATGGGTGGCGTAGTTCTTAATGGTGAGAAGAAAGAATAAAGGTAAATAACAAAAAGGCAATAGTGAAGAGAATAGTTCTTTAAAATAGAAAATTTTTAAATCCCACAAAATTGGGATGTTCGCAAAACAAAGAGAAAAGTAAGTATCATTAAATAGAAGATGGTATGGATTAAAAATAAAATTAAAATATGTTCCAAAATATCCAATATCAACCATATACTACAAAATAATCAAATAATATAATCAGCGTGATCAAATAAAATAGTCAAAGATTATTATTAAAGAAGTAGTCAAATGTCATAGCAAATGAAGTAGTTATTTATCATATCAAATGTATTAAATAGAGGAGTTAAATATCATATCAAATATAGTAGTTAGATATTAGATCAAGTAAAACAGCCAAATATCGTATCAATTATATAAAGTATCATAACTATACAAAATAATTAAATAAAATATATCAGATATTATATCGAAATCAATAGGAGACTCTGAGCATGACATAAACTACTATCTTAGCAGGCTACCTAGAAGGTCAAGTTCGTTCTTTATGTATCCAATAGTAGCATCTGATGTGAAAGAATGCATATACAAATTAAAAAATTCCTCATGTGTTGACTACTATGATTTTAACAGTAAAATTATTAAGGAATCGCTTGATACAATTGTTGAACCACTCACAATAATATTTAACAAATGCATTAACGAGGGTTAATGCATTTGTTAAATACTAAGAATTCGCACCCACTTTTTCAACCTTACTATGATAAACATCTACTGCCCAACAGATGAACAAGAGCAACATATAAAGGAAAGCTTCTACCAACAGCTGGAGATAGTATATGACAATGCGCCAAAAAATGACATTAAGGTTATAATGGGTGATATGAATGCCAAAATAGGCAAGGAACCGCAGTTCTATGGCACAACAGGAAAACACTCACTGCACAATGAAACAAGCGAGAATGGGGAGTTTTTGATAAATTTTGCCACCAGTAAAAACATGGTTATAAGCTCCACATGCTTCCCACATAAAGACATACACAAAATGACGTGGATCTCACCAGATGGAACCACAACCAATCAAATTGACCATGTGATGATAGACAAAAGGGCAGCCAGTAGTATCTCTGATGTGAGAACACGACGAGGAGCATGCTGTGGATCAGACCATCTTTTACTGCAAACCAAATTTAGGTGCAGAGTTAACAGAGAAAGAAACGAAAGACAACAAAGAACAAACAAACTAGACCTGGAAAAACTGAAGACTCAGGAATGTAGAGAGAAGTTCGAGCAAGAAGTCACAAATGAGCTAAGGACACAAGAACTGCACTCCATAGAGAGCAAATGGAATAATATCAAAACAGCAGTGCTGACAGCAGCAGCGTCCACCGTGGGAAACAAGAAAAAGAAGAGAAGAGGAACATGGTTTGATGACGAGTGCAGGCAAGCGATAGAAGAAAGAAACGAAGCGCACAAAATGTACATAACAAGAAGAACACGGGAAAGACGAACATCATTTGAAGTCGCAAGACGGAAAGCAGACAAGATATGCAGAAACAAAAAGAGAGCTTATGAAAATGGACAAATAGAAGAAATGGAACAAAATTTAAAAAAAAAACGAAATTAGAGGAGCTTACGAATACCTAAAAAAGATAAAAAGTGGATATAAACCTCAAACAAGCCTATGCAAAGATGAAAGTGGGCAAATAATCAGTGACCAACAGAAAGTCACAGAAACCTGGAAGCATTATTTTCAGACCCTACTTGGAACACAAGTAGATATGGAAGATGAAATGGGTACGAACCATGTAGAAGAGAACGAAGTTGAAGTAGAAGCTCCAACCATAGAGGAAGTTCTCGAAGCTATTAAGGCCCAGAAAAACAATAAAGCCCCGGGAGTTGACGAGATTCCAGCAGAACTGTATAAGGTAGGTGGCAACCACCTATCAAGTCATATCCACGCGCTTATCAAAGAAATATGGCAAGAAGAGAAAATACCCGACGAATGGAAGAAAAGTATAGTATGCCCAATCTATAAAAAAGGAGACAAACTCCAATGCAAAAACTACCGTGGAATTTCTCTACTATGTACAGCGTATAAAGTCCTCACGTATATTATAAACCAGCGACTCCAACCACTAGCAGAAAATATTATTGGAGAATATCAGACGGGCTTCAGACGGGGAAGATCGACAATGGATCAAATATTTACAGTCAAGCAGGTCTTGAGCAAATCGTGGGAACACGACATTGATGTTCACAACGTGTTTGTAGACTTCAAACAGGCATACGATTCAGTCAAAAGGGACAGACTATACTATATATTGGCAGAATTAGCAATACCACATAAGCTAATTAGACTCATTAAAGCCACAATGGATGAAACTCAGGCATGTGTACGAATACAAAACAACCGGACAGACTTTTTCAAAATCTCGCAGGGACTAAAGCAGGGAGATGGGCTGGCACCAACATTGTTTAACCTGGCACTGGAGTATGCGGTCAGGCAAATGCAAACTGGACGAGAAAACCTACTGACCAATAAAACGGTTCAACTGGCTGCCTACGCCGATGATATTAATATTATGAGTAGAACATCAACAGGAGCACAGGAAGCATACGCAGAGTTAAAAACACAAACGAAAAGGCTAGGTCTGGAAATTAACACAGAAAAAACAAAAATAATGGTACAGACGAGAAGAAATATAATCCCACAAAACATTATACATGAAGATGACATTGAAACGGTTGGAAAGTTTACATACCTGGGAGTAGAAATATATGCCGATGGAGCAGAGGATGGAGAAATACGAAAAAGGATAACGCAGGCAAACAAAGCTTATTTTGCCCTCTCCCATATATTTCGGTCTAAAAGTGTCCACCGAAATACAAAGATGAGAATATATAAAACTTTAATTCGGCCAATAGCATGTTATGGCAGCGAAGCATGGGTCCTGAAAGAAACATCCAAAAACAAACTCGACACATTCGAAAGAAAAGTACTGAGGAGAATACTAGGACCTGTGACGGAAAACGGAATCTTCAGAATTCGATATAACAACGAGCTCTATCAACTGTATAAGGAAACACCCCTGTCAAACTTCATTAGAATACAAAGATTGCAATGGGCCGGACATGTGATACGAATGGGAGAGGATAGGCTACCAAAACGAGCACTGAACGCCAGAATGCAGGGAAAGAGACCAGTTGGAAAGCCAAGAAAGCGCTGGGAAGACACAGTAAGCAGCGACGCACAAGCACTTTTAGGAGTCCGTGTATGGAGAAGAGCAGCCACAGACAGACAAGGGTGGAGGCAAAAAATAAAGGAGGCCAAGGCTCATTTTGGGCTGTAGTGCCGTAGAAGAAGAAGATTAACGAGGGTTACTGGCCTGATGTATTCAAAATATCAAAAGTAATTCCACTTCAGAAAAAAGGAAATAAAAATGCTTCTGACAATTACAGACCTATTACCATAGTACCAACAATAAGTAAAATTTTTGAAATCTTAATTAAAGATCGTATATCAAAGTATTTGGATAACAAATCAATTATATGCTCTCAATTTGGTTTTAGAAAAAAATACTCAACAACTAAAGCTTTATTAGAAGTAATAGAACATATTGTTCACGGTTTTGATGCAGGTGAACCTACTAATGGCTTAATGTGTGACCTTACAAAAGCTTTTGATTGTGTAGATATTCAAACACTATTGATAAAATTGGAGTACTATGGAATAAGGGGCACCATACATGACCTTTTAAAATCCTATCTTATAGGAAGAACACAGATTGTTGCATTTAATAATCAAGAATCTGATCCTTTACCAGTTTCAACCGGAGTACCACAAGGATCAGTTTTGGGTCCTCTACTATTCTTGATATATATAAATGATTTACCAAGTGCATTGGATAACACCAACTGTGTTCTTTTTGCAGATGACACAACCTTATTATGTAGAGGTAAAACTGATTACAGTCAGGATATATTAGAAAAATCTAAATCCTGGTTTAACTGTAACAAACTTAAGTTAAACGAGCAGAAAACCCAGACAATCGTATTTAGTTCTGATAGATGGGTTACACCATCTGAACCAGTAAAGTTACTAGGTGTTACTATGGATACAAGGTTGAACTGGTCGCACCATATTGAACGATTGTGTAGGGGGCTCGCCTCACAGATTTTTGCTATGCGCAGATTGGCTACTTCTGTGAGTCGAGATATTCTTAGGTCAGTTTATTTTGGAATGGTTCATAGTATCCTGACATATTGCATACTTCTTTGGGGAAACTCGTCCTATGCATATAAAGTTTTCACTTTTCAAAAAGCAGCAATCCGAATTATTGACTCGGCAGAATATCGCGCCAGCTGTAAACCCTTATTTAAGAAGTATGGCATTCTTCCTTTACCTTCAATATATATATTTGAAACTTTGTTAACTATTCATAATAATATAAAAGATGTAAAATCACATGCTGATCAACATCATTACAATACAAGAAATAAAAGTCATATCATTATACCATATTCCAGATTGTGTGTTACACAACTTAATACAATAGATTATAATCTGTATAATTGTTTTTTAAACTTAAACAAAAATATTGATATTAAGGCAATGAATTCTAAACAATTTTATAAACTAGCAAAACACTTCCTGCTGGAACACTGTTTCTATAGTATACAGGAATTTGTTTGTTTGAGCTCCTAGTGTGGTCGTTTTTAATGAAAACTATATTACGCCTTACTGAAATGTTTCTTTCTTATTTGTTATAATTTTATATATCTAATTTTCACTGTATATGTTTTATTATATGTTCTTGTATTATTTCTTAGTTCTTAGTATACAAAAGTAAATTATTTTTATTGTGACATGACATGTAGTGTTTACTATGTAAAAATTGTCAATAAACCTATCATTATCTATCTATCTATCTATCTATCAAATATATCACATATCATTAATTTATTATGAAGCACTAAAACTAATCTATGTCCTTTATGCAATGGAATAGCTGTGCAATTTACAAATAAAATAAAACAGATAATTAAGAGTCTCTATCCAGTCACGCATATTATTGTGTAACTTTCTTAACTTGAAAGTGTCACTTAAACCGGCTAAGAAAAGCCTATAGGAAAAAAGTACTTCCAATCTTTAAGCTGGAAAACTGACTGGAAGTTGGCATCCTGTATAGTCAACTCTTTACTACACGAGAGGCTCCATACTCAGCTGGAGGAAAACTTTGAATTGACTCGGGACACCCAACGGAATCAACGGAGATAATCTTGGTACTTACCTTTAGAATTAACTGGGTCTGATTTATGAATTATTAAGCTGTTATTTTGGTCAAGGCCCTCAACTAAAATCAAGAAATATGTCAAGAGCAACAAAGTGTACACTTTGTAAAACAATAATAGGTTCAGTGCTCACTTATGGATCGGAAACATGAGCAATGATGACTGGAAATTAAGATGTAGTACGAATCTTTGAAAGAAAAGGATTGAGGACTATATAAGGCGGAGTAAACGACCTTTTAATGATGCAGCTACCTCGAGAACCATCAAAATAAACCTCCTAAGGTGGGTGGACCACGTATACGGATGGATGAAAGTGATCATGTTAAAATAACCATGCTAAAAAGGCTGGTAGGAAAAAGAAGTAGAAGGAGTCAACCTTAACACAGGTATCTATACGATGTGCAGAACGGTTTTAGGGAGATTCGAGTAAAGGAATGTAGAAGACAGACACTTCACAGTGAAGGATGGAAGAATGTTTTGAGGCAGACTATGGCTCTAGAAATTCTGTTGCGCCAACTGATAATATTGATTATTTAAGAATGAAGTTTGGATTAACCGTGGACTAATTCAGAAATTTCTTTTTGACCACGTCGCACTAAACGTTGGAAGATACATCTGGATTGGCTTTTTGACCAACATTTGACCCTGGTTAAAGAGAAAATAACAATGTTAAATAGGCAAAATAACAGAAGATAAAAATATAAAGAAATACGAAAAATATATCTTACCCTTGACAGGGTGTTGGTTGGCAAGGTGTTGGTGCGTGGTATGAAGAGTCTCAGTTTTTTGAGAATATCTTCTATATTTCCAAACAAAAAAGTTCAGGCTAAATTGGTTTTGGTACTTTGCTGTATAGCTTCGTTTTTTTTTGTCATTAGGTATTTTCTTCAGTGGCGCATCAGCTCTATTTTCGACTAATAAAAACATGTACATTTTATATATTTTATCATTTTATGCATTGGTGTTGGACTCTGTGTTTTTTTTTATCTTACAGCTTATAAATGATCATAAATATTCAACTCGATCATAATATATGTCAGCCTACTCTAATAAGGATATGATTGTAGAAAGGAGCTTCTCATTTCAGGAATTTGTTTATGATACTAACAAAACGCAACATACAACAACAAATCTGATCTAACTTAAGACGGAACTTACCTGTAGGCTGTAAACAACGTTTTAAAATTGGTTCAGCTGCCTCTGAAGTCAGTGTTTCTCCTTTATACCTCCTCTTCATCGTATTCTTTAAAATTTCTTCATAATTATAGCTGGGAATTTCTCCGGCATCCAACTTCTGCTGAATTTCAACGGTTTTGTTTAATATAAGTCTAACAGTACTTATATAATCCTTAGTTTCTATAGGAAAGAACGGCAGAGCGTCAAGTGCTATAAGTTTGTCTATTAGATCAGGGTATAACCTAGAAAACTCGTATGCTACTTGAGCTCCTAAACTGTGCCCTATAATAATGTACTTCTCTTTTTTAAAATAATCTGTCAGAAGTTTACAGGTCACTACGTAGTTAACGGCATTAATGGGTACTGCAGGTGGAAAATGGGATGATTTTCCGTGACCTGGTAAATCTATACAGATGTAGTAGAAGATATTTGGTAAACATGGCATCAAGTTGTCGAATGCTCCTGCGTTGTCAAATGTTCCGTGAAGTAGCAAAACATGTGGATCATCTGGGCTTCCCCAAGCTTTTACTAGAATATACAAAAAATATAGATGTGTTAGTTTTAACTCCAGTATTAATTCCAAATGGTAATAATTCCAAAAATATGCTCAAACGCGAAAACAGCCAAAACATCTAAACTCCAACCTAATACAATTAAACTACTCCAAGAAAGACGAAACAGAACAGATCGAACTTCGGACACCTTTAAAAGTTTAAACAAAAATGTGAAGAAAGAAATCAGGAACAATCATAAAAACTATAATAACAATCTAATAAAAAATATAATACAAGATAACTCCAACATGAAAGTACTCAAAGCAAAAAACTCAAGCGGCACAACAAAAATCATAGAAATAAAAAATGAGAAAAACGTCACCGTCAGAGACAGAAAGGAAATAAGCGAGGCCATTGAAAAATTCTACACTAAACTATACTCGGTAAATACACAACCACAACAACGACGAACTCAACGAACAATAATTAACACCAGCTCAGAAGAAATACCGGACATAACCGACTATGAAATAAGAATGGCCCTAAATCAACTTAAAACGAATAAATGTCCGGGAGAGGATAAGATTACAGTTGAAATGTTGAAAATTGGTGGCAGAAAAATGGAACAGGTATTAAATGTTTTATTTAATAAAGTAATTGATGAAGGAAAGATTCCTCAAGAATGGTACAACTCCGAGGTCATTTTACTATTCAAGAAAGGAAACAGAGCAAACATCGAGAATTACCGACCAATATCCTTGCTATCACATCTGTATAAATTGCTAACTAAAATCATAACCAACCGCCTAACACATAAGCTCGATTTCTATCAACCTATCGAGCAGGCTGGATTCAGAAAACATTTTAATACCATAGACCACTTACACACCGTAAGAACACTGATAGAAAAATGCACCGAGTATAATGTTCCAATTTTCGTCGTTCGTCGATTTCTATAAAGCATTCGATTCCATCGAATTATGGGCAGTGCTTGAATGTCTAGAAAATGCACGCATAGATTCAAGATACATTAACATAATTAAAAACATATATATTCCAAATGTTTGGGTAGGGATTTGTTATTAACAATTTCATTGTTTGAATGCTTATAATGAATGCTGATAATAAACTAATAAAGATAGATTCCTTTCAATAGATTTCCCTTCATATATACCTGAAACAGTCTGTTAGTAAGTCGTCAAAATAATTTATAACAACAACTGAGTAAAGCAATAGGTCGATATCTTTCAGGCAGCTTATTGTCTTCACCTGTTTCTCTCATAATACAATCTAAAAGTAATATCAGAGCAGGACCAAAACAGTGCGGTCAAGCAAAATAAATATCATCAAACATTTACTAGGTCCAATGAGGCCCACAAAGGGTTTCTCTGAAACATAGAATTGTTTTGTTTACAATAATGCGTTGAACCTACATTGATCAGCTTCTGATGAGTTAGAAATATCAAGCCCAACAATTAAATCAAGATTCATGCTATAATAACTTTTCTTTACTTGGAAGGAACATAACAAGATAACCATTTCAATACGGAAACAGTGAAGGCATTGAAAATTTTGCCTGATCATATGTCTAACTCGGTTCTCTAATCTCGGTTCCTGTAAGGATGTGTAAGACTTCATGAAAAAGTCAAACCTTTCGAAGAGAAACTGGATAAGATGGCGGTTTTTTGAGTATTCTTTCCTTTGATCATTTGAAGAATCGTTCAAATCAGCAATCTGTTCTTCTAAATCTTTAACGTATTATCGAAAGCTTTCTAGATTTTTGAGTAGATACAATATGTTGTAGTGATTGCACAAGACTAAGAAGACCGCAGTTACATGATGAAGAAACTATAAGAAGAATATACCAAGGCTGGCCTAGATATTAATCTGGCGAAAACAGAGTACCTGTCTATAAGTGAAGAAGACATAGAAGATCTACAGATTGACGACAACGTCACAATCGAAGGAACAGATACATTTAAATACTTGGGGTTTATAATCACGAAGAAGGCAACAGCAAAGGAAGAAATTAAGCAAAGATTAGGACAAACAAGAACAGCAATCCGACAACTTAACTCAGTTTGGTGGGATGAAAATTGGATTATAAATAAGAAAAACAGCAGTAAAATAGTAGCAACGGAGATGGAATGCCTGCAAAGATGCTGTAGAGTAACAAGAATGAATAGGAGAAGTAATGAAGAAATAAAGCAAAAAACATCAATAGCAACAGACATACTAACATATATTCTAGAACAAAAAAGACTAAAGTGGTATGGACATGTAAGAAGAACTAGCGACAGCAGATGGATAAAGAAAATAACCGAATGGGGCCCCATAGGTAGGAAGAAAAGAGGACGACCCAGAAGATCCTGGAGAAACGAAGTAGACGACGCCATGAGTAATAGATGTCTAAACAATGAAAAATTGCACAACAGAGAGAGATGAAAACGGTTAGTAGAAAGTGATGTCTACTAACCGAATCCTTATCTATCTGTCTTCTTCTTCTTCCAATTGTTCTGCTTCCTTTTCAGTATCTTTTTACATAATTTATATGTTTCTTCTCTTACCACATATCATAAATATTCACAAACATTTTTTCATAGTTCTCATCAATTCGCAATTCTTTCGAATTTCTCTTTATGTGCATTATGTGCCAATACAGTAAACTAGTTACTTGTTTATAAAGTAATTAATCAAAACTTGTAATAAATATAATGAAAATGAAACATCCTAAACATATATTATGCAGATGGAAGAACGTTCCAATTATGGACACAAACATATAGGCAACTCTATCATATTATAGTTTCTCATATTAGGAACATAGCATACCTAACCTAAAAATATTTCTGAACCAAGATCAAGAAAGAAATTATAGAAAATTATTAAAAAGAGCATGAATAAAATAAACAATCTAGCTGTATACCTAAAAAAGGAAGAGGCCACAGCAGAGATGAATATTTTGCTTTACTTGATTATTATAATAAAATTGACCAAAAATAATGAATTATGAACTTAGTAAAGAATTAATATAATCAAAACATATAAATATACCTGCTACATGCCCCCAGTGCACTGGAACATTAAACTCATTAACAGTTTTACGATTTTGCTGGTTCAAATTCATTTTCTATGATGTGTACAAACTACCGAAAAGTAAAAATACACTTTAACAGGCCAGTTTACCTTGAACATTAATTTATTTTAATTTGTTAAAACTAAATGTTTTCGGCGAACGGTTTCTTAACAACTAAAAGTTAGGTTAACGAAATGTTATCTGTTTGTAGATAAAAATAATTTCACATAATAATAATAAAAACAAAAGATCACGTGACTTTAGATAAGTTGTTTGTTAGTTTCAACGTAGACCCAGACATTTGAATATGAGATATCAAAGTGTCTAAGATAATGAAAAATATTTAAAATATAAGATAAAATAAATTGTATGTAGAATTACTATTACAGTTTCAATGTTTTTTTTATTTGACACATTAGCCCTTTCCTTAAATTTTCCACAATCAATTTTATTATTTTTAATTCCATTCCTATATCTATCATTTCATTGTTAAAATCTATATATATATATATATATATATATATATATATATATATATATATATATATATATATATATGTTTATAATATTCAATAAATTTTGTGCTGAAAAAATTACTATATGTTAAATTTTTTTTAGTTAACTTATATTTTCAACAATTTTAACACATGAAGAGACATGATTTGAATAATCACAGTATGTTTACAAATAGTACACGATCCATTTCCTCTCCATTCATTTCTCTATCAGCAATTATACCAACTCCATTTCTAGTATTTCTTTTTCTTGCATAAAAGTTGTGGTATTATATGCAGAGAAAAGTAATATGTACTAGGACTACCGAATGATTGCCGGTATAAGCAATCTCCCACTTACTGTCCAACAGCTTCGGGCAGATGAGTTGGTGAGTGGTAGGGCACTCTGTTGTTCTGAGACCGAGAAATCGATCTCAAATGCGGAGGAACCAAGAAATGGTCAACGGCATCAGGATGTAGATGGCCAGCAGAAACCACTATTAAAGATTCTTGTAGATATCTCTAGTACAGCTTCCTATGACAGAGGAAGAAAATATGCATATTTTTAATGGTCATGGACTTCGGAATCCAAGATCTGACAGGGGAGGAAGATCACAACCAGACCACTGGGCCTCTCAGGTCGTAAACCCACGAAAACCCCGTGTCGTGGAAGTCCACAAGATAGCTACGTGGAACGTCACAACTATGTTTGAAGGCGTGGATACATTGTCTATCACTCGGGAAAGGCAGAAGAACCCAGACGTAACGGAGTCGCAATTATTGTCAAAGAAGAAATTCGTAACTGTATTAGAAATTTCGTTTCGTGTTGCTTTGCAATTTTTAGAAAGCACAGATTAAAGCGGAAATCTGAATTGTGTTTCGAAACTATTTTACGGTTTTATTGTCAGATGTCGCTATTGCGTCCGTATTGAACCCATTTAAGTGTTGCTTCTTAAAAGACAGAAAATATTGATCTTTCACGTTGAGAACACCTTTGAATAACTGTTCTGATGAGACCTATTAGGTCGAAATACGTATCAACAGATACAAAGGCGCTTTTTGCGCGAAATCAAATATTTGCTGTCTTTTCACTTTTTTCGGATTTACTTTAAGGTCTTATCAATGTTAAAGTCAAGTCACAGTTGGATGCAATTCGCTATTTACTTCATCTAGTAAAGTTTGTAGCTCTTCCATACTCCCAAGATGCATCCTCCTTGCCTGAGCCCTCTCGCAATCAGTATATTATTTGTTTCTGTCTCGGTTACCTTTACTATTGATATTTTATTTGCAATAGATAGGTTTTCTAATGGCTTAGTTGCGATTGATTGAAACAGGACCAGTTTTACAAACGAAAAATATGCTGTAATTCTAAGACCTAAGTAAAAAAAAAGATTTTTTTTTATTCTTTTTTTTACTTTTCTGTTTATTTTCAAATATAAATTTATTGAAAATTCTGTAGTGACCAGCAAATCACATATCTACACAAGAAATAAGGATCTGGTGAGGTTTTTAGTCAGATTTTTAATTACAAATCATGCTTTTAAAAAGTCTTCATAGTTGTTTACTAAAGTACTGTTTAATTTAAATATATATGAATACAAAATTTTAAAATATTTATTATTAGCGATTGCTCTAAGGTTAATTTTAATTGTGATTGATATCTTTATTCTAATCGACCATTGAAACAATGTATACAACTTTTGTGTTTGTACAACCATATACCTACATCAGTTTAAAGTTCAACAAACTTCGTACCTACTCGATTTTTTGTAACGATTACAAGTCTTTCATTAAATAATGTTGATGGTGTCATGTCATTCTCCTCGTTCAATTGTTAGACGCAAGTGAAATATTCTTCTGTCTGAATATTTCTACGTATCGTTTACTCATAGCATATACCGGGCATGTCTGAAATCCAACTGTGCCTATGGAATAAAATCCCAATTCCTCAACATCTGTCGTGTTATTGCACTTGCTTTTTTCCGTATTTAGTCAAAGCAACTTACAGAGAGAAACTGCTAAACAGAAAGAAAATTTCAAATATTGCAAGGGACTCTAATTAAAAACATTTAATTTAGAATTTATTTTTAAAAAGTTTTAATTGAAAAATCCTTTATGAAAACGTATATTTATTTATAAAAACCTTTCGGGCTACATCACAGAACGTTTTTGAAATGAATATTTCATCATCAGTGCTGTTATTCGGTATACATGTATAAAGCCACTATATATAAGTGCCACTTCTTATAGAGACTATATCTCTAACATCATATAATATTATCTGCAACAATGTAACTTCAAATAATTTAACAACATTTAAATGATTTTTTAGAAATAAAAAAGAGCCTATGAAAATGGACAAATAGAAAAAAAAACAGAAGAAAATTTCAAAAACAACGAAATTAGAGGGGCTTACGAATACCTAAAAAGATAAAAGTGGGTATAAATCAAATAGTCCGCATCCAACAGAGTACAGAAACGTGAAGATCTTCGGGCCAACTAGTCAGCGACCAACAGAAGTAGACATGGAAGATGAAATGGGTATGAACTACGTAGAAGAGAATGAAGTAGAGAATGGAGTAGAAGCTCCAACCATAAAGGAAGTTCTCGAAGCTATTAGGGCCCAGAAAAGCAATAAAGCCCCGGAGTTGACAAAATACCATCAGAATTGTATAAGGTGGGTGGCGACCATCTAGCAAGTCACAACGACGCTCTTATCAAAGACATATGGCAAGAAGAGAAAATACCCGACGACTGGAAGAAAAGTGTAGTATGCCCGATCTATAAAAAGGAGACAAACTCCAGTGCAAAATACCGTGAAGTTTCTCTACTATGTACAGCATAAGCCCTCACGTATATTGTAAACTAGCGGCTCCACCACTAGCAGAAAATATTACACGGGCTTCCAACGGGAAGATCGACACTGGATCAAATATTTTCAGTCAAACAGATCTGGAGTAACTCATGGAAACATGACATTGATGTTCACAACGTGTTTGTAGACTTCAAATAGGCATACGACTCAGTCAAAAGGAACAAACTCTCCAATATATTGGCTGCATAGGCAATACCACACAAGCTTATTAGACTCATTAAAGCCACAATGAATGAAACTCAGGCATGTGTACGAATACAAAACCACCGGACAGACTTTTTCAAAATTTCGCAGGGACTAAAGCAGTGAGATGGGTTGGCTCCAACTGTGTTTAACCTGGCACTGGAGTATGCGGTTAGGCAAATGCAAACTGGACGAGGAAACCTACTGACCAACCGAACGGTTCAACTGGCCCCTTATACCGATGATATTAATATTATTAGTAGAACATCAACAGCAGCACAGGAAACATACGCAGAGTAAAAACGCAAACAAAAAAACTAGGTCTGGAAATTAACACAGAAAAAAAACAAAAATAATGATACAGACGAGAAGGAATATAGTCCCACAAAACATTATACATGAAGATGACATTGAAACGGTTGGAAAGTTTACATACCGGAAAGTAGAAATATATGCCGACGGATCATGGATCAGAAGATGGAGAAATACGGAAGAGAATAATGCAGGCAAATAGAGCTTATTTTGCCCTCTACAATATATTTTGGTCTAAAAACGTCCACCGAAATACAAAGATGAGAATCTATAAAACCTTAATTCGACCAATAGCATGCATGCTATGGCAGTGAAGCATGGGTCCTGAAAGAAATATCCAAAGGCAAACTCGACACATTCGAAAGGAAAGTACTGAGAAGAATACTAGGACCTGTGAGGGAAAACGGAATCTTCAGTATACAACAACGAGCTTTATCAACTTTATAAAGAAGCACCACTGTCAGACTTCATTAGAATACAAAGATTGCAATGGGCCGGACATGTGATAAGAATGGGAGAGGATAGGCTACCAAAAAGAACACTGAATGCTACAATACAGGGAAAGAGACCGGTTGTAAAGCCGAGAAAACGCCGAGAAGCCCTTTTAGGAGTTCGTGTATGGAAGAATACAGGATAGAAGGAGTCGCGGAAGAAGACGCATTTCCTGGTTAAACAATTTGAGCTGGTTTAACTGCTTCTGCGACCTCTTTGAAGCAGCAGTATCGAAAGTGCGAATTGCCATGATGGTTGCCAATTTTCTTAGAGGAGATAGCACATGGAGAAGATCAGCCACAACAGCAAGGGTGGAGGCAAAAAATAAAGGAGGCCAAGGCTTAATTTCGGCTGTAGTGCCGTAAAAGAAGAAGAAAGCGTTTTACCCGTATATTTAATTGCCTAATACATGTATACCGAGTAACAGCACTGATGATGAAATAGGCATTCCGAACATGTCCACACAGTGACTATTTAAAATTTACTATTTTGATAAAGATAGCAAATTTCTACTCAATAGTTAGATCATATTCATTATTATACTTTTATTAGGCATTTTTTATGAGTAAGAAAATTCCTGATAAAAATTCTTAGTAAAAAATCAATTCCTAATTCGGTACGAAATCTTTGGTAAAAAAATCCTTTTAGCATCGATGAATTGTTGTAGAAATCTCAAGCTCGCGAACAACTTTAAATATTTTGCTAATGATATCGCTCATATCCAGTCCCTATTTACTTTTCAGTCGTTTTCCGAGAACCAGAAATGTCAATGTTGCCGACTGGAACCAAATTGCAGTGGTTTCAATTTGCAGTGGC